TCTGCCTAAACTTATGAAAATCAATAGAAATGTTATATCTATTCTGTGTTAATCACTATAAAAAAGAAAATAAATTAGAATAAAAATATCACAAAATGATATTTTTTGATGCTTACATCTTTTTCAAAAATATTATTTATAGTAGCATTAACAATTGCATAACTCTATGACAAGATGAACTTAATAATATGGACCAAATTAATCAATATCAAAGTTGCAGCAAAAATTTTTAAAAGATCATGTTATTATCGATTTATACTGACCTTATATTTCATTGAATCTTCTCTTATCTGTACTATAAAAGGATTATTGTCATTCTTATATACAATCCCTGTATCAGATTCATAGCAGTTATTTAACTTTAAGAAAATATTACTGATGGTATTTCAATTGATTCATCTTCAACTTCGGCTGATTCTTCATTGTGATCATCAAAAGAGTTAACTCTGCTATTATCAAATAGAGTGAGAGTAGAATTGCAAAGGTTAGAAATAGGTATAATAACTTTCTCAGCTAAACTCAATGGTTTATTTGTACAATCTTGAATATTAGAAGAAGTAGTAATAATAAAAAAAGCTTCCTTAGCTGGATGTTTTCAAACTAAATATTCTTCAAGTATTGTTTGTATAACATGATCTCTTAATACTAAATTTTTTAGAATTTCATTATACTGTTTTTTCTGTAATAAGAACAAAGAAATAAATTCAGTTCAGCATGTCCTTATCATGAAAGTAAGGCCAAAGATAGTATACTATAATAACATTACATTTAACAATATGTTTTTGAATAATCTTATTATACTGATTTGATTTTTTTATACTACTAGTTCAGTGCTAACAGAAAAGATAGAATTAATATAGCTCTCAAAAATTAATTAAACATGGTTTGCCCTTCAGTTGAGAGAAGGTGTTGAACTTTTCTTTTATAATCGATTAACTTTACATGTCCTAGCTAACCACTAAAGACAGTCAAGATAAACACAAACTTTGTGTTCATAACCAGTCAACTTTGTGTGTCCCAACTTGACTATACTTTAACTATCAAGATAAACATGAACTTTGTATTTATAACTGGTCGACTTTGTGTGTTCCAGCTTAGCTATATTTCAAGTGCCTCTTTTAGTTTCAAAAAACAGAACTTTATCCCTCTCAATCTCAATATCAGTATTACAAGTCTACAAAATACTTTCCAGTTATCAATTATATATTGTGCTGTTTTTTCACACAAATTATCAAAGTCATTTTATGCAATCTGTTTGAGCTTAATATTGATTTCGTAAAAATTTTTTTGAGATTTTCATGTTGCGAAATGTGCTTCCAGTAGTATGGTACTTGACAATGTTTTATATGACCATTTAGAAAAATATTTGTTTTGTTAAAGAAAACATTAAAACTTGATGCCACCCCCAAAATTTAAGAAAGTGCTCCAGAAGAGGTATTGCTATTAAGAATATCCACCTTTTGGTCTTAATAAAAGTTGTTCATCAGGCCATTCCAGTTCTAATAATAGTAAAATCATTAAAATCGGATTGATAGTTTTTTTTTAAAAAGTGAATGTAAGTTAGCTAATTTCGGATATAAATATCTTAGAAACTACTGGTCCGAGTGTAACGATTTTACTACCGGAAAGGCCTGATGAACAACTTTTATTAAGACCAAAAGAAGGGTTTACTTAATAAGAATATCTATTCCGGAGCA